TCTTGAAGTAGTGGCTGCTTGTTGGCCAAATTCGGACTTTTGAACGCTCGTAACTTCATCGCGCAACAGGCAAGTTAGATTTAAAATAATCTTGCCGAGAAGCATATAATAATACGCCTTTCCGAAGATTCATGGCGAACTGAGATCCTCTCCCACTAAGTCCAAAAAGAGAAAATGAGTTTATGACATTCCTGAAAACTACAAAGCACTGTTTTGAACTCACAAGGGAAGGCAGTTTGGGTCGATTTTTCGAAAAACGACGCATATATCCGAAATCAGCTTAAGACGCTGGTTTCAAGTATGCTGTACGTAGTTGCGAAGCGTTGCTCTGAAGCGAGTTATTATGAGCTTTTTAGTATGTGTCATCATAACCTATTATATGATAACGGCCCAAGAGTGTTTACGTGTTTTTGTGTTGTTGTATGTCTGTGTGTCTGTTACGAAATCGTAAAGCATTTTCCAATCAACGTACCTAGCCCAAATTTTCCATAGCGCATGCAACCAGCATGAAAGTCCACTATGCAAAAGCATGAGCAGATCTCTTAATTGGACCCCTCGAAAATTGCGCGCTAAACGGATCCACTTGGATTTTGGCCAGCAAAATTGAGTCCGTACTACCACTTTTTGCAAAATCATGAATATGTTTGACAAGTAGTGTGCAAACCATGGACTTTAGCCCAAGAAAGTAATCAAAAGTCTATTACTTTGCAAAAACGACGCTAAAAAGAATTGGTTGCGTCAATGGTAATTTTCCAAGATTTTACCTGAGCATATGAAAAGATTTTTGTCCAGAGATTTAGCTCAAGATGATTAATGTCTTTACGGCAACTAGCAAGCCAAAAGAAATCTAGAAACCGATTTGAATTTGCATTTGTTGTTCTACGAGAAGTTTTATCCACACAAAATTACCGATCTTACATGAAAAAGCTTTCGGAATGAGTAGTTGTTTACAATTCATTCGTGATAGTCGGCATTGCGTAGTGAGTTTCAATGATCATTTTGAGAGAACGATTAAGCCATTTAAATAGTAGAATTAGTGCGAGCCTCTGCGAAGCAGAGATGACGTGCTGGTTGACATTTAATTGACATATAACTGAACATGGAAAGGAGATTGAAGATCTGCCCAAATGTGGTGGAGAATCGAAATAACATCAAACTGAGTCATCTGGCTTTGATAGATATAGTATGTATTTAAAGCACTACCTAGATGTGATTCGTATGGCGATAATGCATGATAATTGATATTCTGTATCAAACATTGTTTAGAAACATCGGCTACCAAATGAAAGGCGTCTCGTGAAGGCAGTCGTACGTCCTTGGTATTTGATACATCACTCTTCCATTGCATACGATGAGGTAATATTCAAAACATATTTTTGAACAATGCTTAATAATTTTAATTTTACGAGTACAAGGCGCACCTCTTTCATTTTTTCAAGCATGCGTCTTGGCCGCACCACTCTGCTCGCGAGGTGTCGTCCTCCCCCACAATTCCCACTTGGTCAAAGAGCAAAACGATAGAGCGTTCTTTTGTCGCGAAATCGTTTGGCATCTTCGGGCTGGAGTTTACAGAGGAAACGAGTGCGTCTTGTGCTCGTGAAGTAAGTGAGAAAAAATTGTGACGATGTCATCTACACTGTTTGCTTCAAACTGAGGTTGAGCGTCTATCGATCAACTCCAACAATAGAACACGAGAAATTAGATTGTTCCAAAAATTAGCCGTTTTTCTATTTTAAATGGTTTTGTTTTTCTTAGTAGACTCGGGGTACCGTTCGATAGAGTAAAGCAAGCTCTACAATATAACCACCAGAATCCACCTAAATAATCCGGGTAAAGTTTAAAGCCAAAAACAAAATTTCTCAACTACGTTGAATATCGGATCTTCTTCGACTCCTACGGATCTCAACCTACTCATCAGCAGAAGACACATGGTAGTACGCATAATAACATTTATGGGATTTTTCCGCGGCTCAAATTCGAGAAATAAAATAGTCCAAAAGTGCAGAAATGCCATTTTTGCGGTTTTCTAGTGTTGAACTAGGTATTTCACGGTTATCAGAGCACGAACAGAGAGCGCCTGTGCTGAAGATTTATGATTCGAGGGTGAGCATTACAATACAGCAAAATCAACTTTTTTGGCATTTTTTGGAAAATGATAACTTTCTAGATCATTCAACATAATTCAGCTCTGTTGGAAAGGGTGGATCAAAAGACTTATACTTTATATGCTTCGGATTTTATCACAAATTTTAGATTCTCAGCAGCTTAAATTGAAAGGAGCGAAGTTGAAGTGATTTCATTTTCCTGCTTCCATTTCAAAGACTTACTCTCTATTAGAGAGCAGCAGAAGTGCAGACACAAAAAAAATATGATTTTTTCTACCCGCCCGTTGAAACTATGTCTGTGCAAATCGTAGATTGAGCAGGAAGTTATAAGTTTTTATGAAGCGACAAACTTTTGCATAAACCTAATAATTTTTTTTGATTTTGGCTTCAAACTTTACCAGGATTGCGACTTGGATTTTTGGTGGTCATTATGTAGAGCTTGTTCTGATCTAGGAATGGTACAGTCTTTTTCAACCCGGAATAGGCGAGACATTCCAAATGGAGCAGCGCGTCCGCACCGTTAGTGGCTAGCGAGATAGATTAGCCCTTTCGGACTTGACTTTTTCCCCGTAGGGAAGAAATCTTTTTTCTCATTAATTTTTATTTATAGGCACATAAATAGCACTTCCGTAAAGTTTGGAAAGTTTTTGACATACAGTAAGAAATTACAAAATGGCGGCATTTGCCACCAACAGGCTTTAGTGGAACAGCTTTCATTACACCTTTTTGAGTACAGTGGAATGTTCTGAAGCAATTTCGATGTTTCACAAAAATGAACCGTACATTTCTCACACTGGATTCGGAACGTCCTTTACAAGATTCTAGTTTATATCGTTGTTCGTTACCATCGTCATGTATCGGCCAGTGTCCGACGCTGTCGTATCTAACTTTACTCAGGGTTCTCAATCTGGGCTTCACGCGTTTTGTTGGCACGGTAGTACGTGCATTCACGATATTCGAAGAATTGGACACCGGTCTTCCTTGTTTTGGTTCACTCGCGATGCCATGAACTTTCCTTTTCTCATCTTGTTGTTCTTTTTCGTCGCTTTCTCCAATGCTTCCGAACTCCTCGTCAACATCATCTTCCCTCAACGTGATTTGTTGAAATATGCCAGCTAGATTCTTGTCGAAGTTCCTTGGCGGTCCGTCTTCTGAATAAAAAACCTTCCATTGAAGTTCCACTAAAGCTCACTGGTGGCAATTGCATAAAACAGTTCTGAAGGCGATGGCAAAGAGTCAACACATGTGGACTCACAAACAACTGTCAATTATTTTTAGCAACTTCATATCCAACGGTTACAATGGAAATATGCATAAAAACACAATGTTCCAGAAAAAATTGGTACTAACCTATCAGATTCCAAACTCGAGCGCGATCCAGTGTTGTTTCGCACGCAATTGATTCTGATACTAAGCGCAGAACGAATAAAAATTGCGAGTGGACGCGTAGATGGAAAACAATAGGTCATGCTTGAGATGGCCTATCGCTTTCCGTCTACGTGAAGAGACGCGACTGCAAAGCGGCGCGAATCGTTGCGAAACGGGCCCCCGCCACTCCAATTTTTGAAACTCACTGTAATCCAAATCATTTTTGAAAACGTTTACTTTTAGGACCAACTAATAGCCAGACGTACTAGCCAAAAATTTCTTTCTAACGGTAGCTCCTGATGACGAAGCATGTCAATGTAAATCCCTTGTGAATCAAATATAAACCTAAACAAGAATAAGAGAAGTGGATCAATGTTTAGCTTGATAGATACTTCTTGACGTGTCTCATTTATTTACTGCACTTTCCAACTTGACAAATCCAAATGAAAGAGAGTGAGGAAGAAAAGGGCTTCATGGAAGCTTCAAAATTGCTCTGCGAGGACGAAGAAGGTTCAGCATAGGTGACTTATAAGCAAGCTGAATGTGGTTTTTGCGAAATTAGGTTTTTTTGTGAACGTTTCGTTGCTCTAGTCGATTCGGATATTTTGGATAAGGGTCAAAGGGAAATTCGAAAATTTTGCGAAAGTCGGGGGGAGAGGACTTCGCCTTTTGCATTTTCGGGAAGCCACTTCGTGCCGAGTCCGGGCGAAGCCATTGTGTGTCCCCAAGTCTACGCATACCAGTTCAGCTCTGTAGTCCTGTGAATTTGTGGTAACTGTATTCTTGTGATGAGTTAGTGCACCCCTCTCAATCATAACACAGTTAGACAAACAAATTGCACGAGCAAGAAAGTGATTGTTTTGCAGGGTGGCCGAAAAGTATGGGCGTCACATCTTTCGTTAATGATTCTTCATAGCAAACAAAATTCTGTGAAATTATTTTTGCATGCCAAAAACACAGGCACCTTAACGTGTTGCTCCTGCAAGACTGGGTTCCTGCACATGCATACAGACTCCAGCAGTTTACTTTGAAGTTGATGCGTCAAAAAAGCTATTCGAAGAATGTAGCCATTGCGAATCCGTTGAAATAACACGATTATCAATTGAATAGATTCTAAGACCTGAACTTTTGTAGAGCACATTTCAAGGAATAACACTGCCATAACAGCAAAAAATCAAAATAAGATATGGTACTACAAATATGGTGTTAACTGAACGCGCCGCAGCGTTTCTCAAGAGAAAGTAGACTCAGGAGTCCCATTTGCATCAGAAAACTTCAGTTCGCGTGATTTTTACTTATCTTAATATAGAGGCTGTCGATAAGCTACAGGCATATTAGCCGTCATGATAGATTATTTCAGAGGAAAGATATATTACATGTTGTAACGCCCATACTTACCGGCCACCCTGTAGATGTTTGACACATCACATGGGCACGATGCACCAGTTTCAGAGGATTTTCAGCGTCGTAAAAAGGAGATTGATCATTTTTTCAGTCCGGCAAGTTGGGATCCGGAAACTTCTGCGACGTTTTCAAAGGAAAGGTCATGATCGACCGTAAAGATGTTGATGTGGCTATAAAGGTTGGCTTTACTTTTCATTACAAATCGCACTGACTAATTTTGATCTTGCTCCTTTTACTCTTGAAAAAAACGGTGTACCGCCAAGCGGTACACAGTACCGGTACTGGTACTGTGCGGTACTCATCGAGAGTGTGTACCGCCAAGCGGTACACACTCTCGATGAGTATAGCACGACTTACCTCTCCGCCGAGTTGCGCTTTGTCTCCTCCTCCGCCTACCTCGACTTCAATTCCTCTCCTGCACAGAATGCAACTTGCGAGAGCATCTTCAGGAATAAAGTGGCCCTCTATGCGACTTACATAAAATCGCTAAATGCTGCTAGCAACCAAATAGAAATGAGATTTACCATCCTCTTCTGACTGTGGTGAAATAACTTGATAATTACTGTGAACTTTCATTTTTCCAGTGGCCAGTAAACAATTCAAAAAATCGATAGAAGCACCCAATGAATCTTGTAAAAATTAGCCTAAAACCGTCTCCGGCGTTGAACTTATCTATGTGCAAAGTCTCAGCTCAATTTCAGCCGCGGGAGTTTTTATAACGCGCATACCCTACGAACGGACAGATATGAGCATGCGCCAAAATTTTCATCATGCACTTTGCTGCGTAAGTCGTTCTACTTTCTTAGCTAATTTTCGCAGCCTGCAAGCCGGTTAGCATTAGCATACTTTGATCTAATTTAGTGCGCTATTCAAAAAGAGCCACCTAGGAGGTGATATGTGCTACCAGGAAATTGCTACCCTGATAGAGGAATCATAGCTGAGATTTGTGTCTCAGGCCAAGCAGACCAGTCTCAGCAGCCGCAAATACTACAGCATTGTTTCTTGTAATATTCTATACGTTCTCTGGTCGTGAAACCTGGGCATTGTCTTGTATTCATAAACTTTCTGGTGAGCCACGCAGGTTTGTTAAGATATTTACTAGGTCCCTTTCGGCAATAATGCTTTCAGAGATCTAAAACAAAGTCACCACTAGTTTTTTGTCCTATATGATCAGATCTCTCCTCTTGACCAGCCTGATTCGACGCCTTAGGAGCAGACAAGCGGAGACATTACACGACAAGTCGCATACAAAGATCTCCACCGTTACCGCAACGACAACGTTCAAACTCCAAGTGGTAAAAGACTATAGCCGACCGATGTGGGCAGCTTAAGTAGTAGTGGAGTAGATTAGGCCGTTCCGGAAGTAATGTCGCTTTTTTCAAACGTACGCCAATCTCGTGGAATAAAGACGTGTAAGAGATTCTGGTAGTATTTGATGCAGCATTTCATTCTCTTTCTAATGGTTATATAACCACTGCACAAAATCTAATAACCTTACGAAAAATTATCAAAATCTGCGACCCATTTTCGAGAAGGCCAAGTTTCACAATTTTTCTATTTATACAACAACCCCTGGAAGGAGTTCAAGTAACGGATGGATAGAGCAAACCCTACAGGAAACAGGACAACTTTTTTCCACTTTCCAGAGCTCGTCATAATTTTGGTATAGTTTTTTTGATGGAACCACCGAAATTTAGCAGGCTCGTCTCAGACATATATGCATCAAACACCAAAAATCTTCGGATTTGGAACTTACGAAGATGGATTATGGTTTGATACTATTTTTCAGACCAAATGTGCATTTACCGCTTCATATTAGCAACTTTCGAAAATTCCGGAATACCTTGGGGCGCCTTGGAAAATTTGAATTATGATGATTTCATCCTGGAAAACTTGATGAATCGAAAATAAAAAAACCCGGTAGAAAGAAGAGAAAAATCTGCGTCGAATGACACCCAAGTTGCTTGCCGGTTGTTGTTCTGTGAGGTTTGAGTTCACCAAGTATGGAATTTGATGGCATTGAGAAATTGATTGTAGAAACTTTAAGAAGTAAACTAAGGAGAAGGAAGAAATTACACTGTGTCCTGTAGGATTTGCTCTATCTACCTGTCACTTGTACTTCGTCGGCATGAGTCGCAAACTTTGGTAATTTTGGAGAGCTCATTGAATATTATGCAATGGATTTGTAACCTTTAGAAAGAGTATGAAATGCTGCATCGAATGCTCCTAAGATCTTTCGAAAATCTTGTTTCCACGAGATGTGGCGTTCATTTGAAAAAAGCGACATTACTTTCGGAACGACCTAATACTTGGGTAATTCGAAAGTTTTTCATCGAATGAATGAATTTCGAATAAATTCGAAAAGGAATACAATACCGCTCATAATTCGTCAAAAAAGTCGCCGGACTGCGGCGCACTCCGCCACACTCCGCCACAGTGCGCCGGAGTGTGGCAGAGTGCACCAGAGTGCGGCAGAGTGCGCCACACTCCGCCGCAGTGCGCCGGAATGATCGTCAATTTAGCCATATTTCGCTTCAGAATGGACGAATTCTGAATCCGAGGACATCGTTCGATTCAGCTCGACGAGACGCATCATCTTATTTATGAAGCTGAACGTCTGTTTGTCTGGTTGTCTGTACGTATGTTCCGAATAGAAAAATCCACTTCTGAACCGATCCGGACCAAACTTGGCACACATACACTTCGGGCCCCAGCGGGTGTCATAGGCTACTTTTCGTCATCGATCGATATCGATTTTATCGATTTTTATCGATTTTTTTTGCAGAATTCACCTACGGGGCTGGGAGTTTGCACAGGGGGTAATCGAGCATAGGGATTCCGAATACAATATTAGTTTCCAGGATTATCGATTACTTTTATCGATTTTGTCGATTTCTTTTGCAAAGTTTGAGCTACGGGGCTGGGAGTTTGCACAGGGGGTAATCGAGCATGGGGATTCCACATAACAATATTAGTTTTCAGAATTATCGATTATTATTTTGGTTGAATTCAGTGTGCTGATAACAGCATTACCATTGATCTGTCGCTGATGACACATAGACAGTATACTATAGGAGTATGGTAGAGAGTCACTCTGATCGAATTTGTTCTACGATCTGCTCAGGATCACAATACCGCGCACAGAATGTCAAAATTTCCGTGAACTTCGCGGAATTCGGGGATTCCCGCCAAAGGCGATAATCCGGGAAGTTCGCGACATTTCAGGATCCGCGAAACCATGCGAATCACGCAGAGTACGCAACGCCATAACTTCCTTCGGAATGAATATATTCCGAATCCAGAAGCAGCATTGTGTTCAGATCGTCGAGGCAAATATTTTGATATATAGTATGCTCTCGATATTCCATTTCCAGTTTTTTCGAATTTTTTCTGTGGAGGTCTTTTCGCAAGGATGTAACGCAGCGTCTGTGTAACATAAAAGATTCCAGTAAGCACTGTTCGATAGTACTGTCTTTGTAGGTTATCGTGCGTTCAAGAGTAGCTGCAGACTGTCTCCCAAAATAGATAGAAGCGTTGGTGAATTCTGAAAAAATCATGTCGTTCTAAATTTTTTCCAACGTAACTCTAAAATATGAAGCTCTCTTGCTAAGCAGATGTGATTTTCGTAATCAGCAGGTCGGATAAGCCTTATAAGCAAGTTTTCCAAGATGTTCGAGTAATTTCATTTTTTCTCGTTTTACGCTCTGAAGCTGGCCGATGGATTTTGGTCAAAATGTTCATGCTCTTAAATTGTAAGAAATCTTCGCTTATAAAGGTTTTCGAACACGCTCTTTACGAAAATCGTGGTCTTCGAGGATTACAGGGTCTTCTTGGAGGGATACGGTGAGGTGACTGTAACTGCATCACGAAAGCTCGTAACTTCGCCTCCACCTACGTGTCTGTCAAAGAACCTACATGCTTGCTTCACTAGTCAAAGTTACTAGGAGATGTGCTATCGAATCGCGCAAGATTGAGGCTCCAGTCTATGAAATTCGCTGAGTTACGAGCATATGAAAACACGTTCTCATGAATTTTGCTCAAAATGTAAAGATCGCAAATTTCGTCGAAATTCCACCATGAGTGCTTGTACAACACGTTGATCGAATCTTTTCACATTCTTAATGGATCTTATTGTGAGATTTGGTGATTTGAGCTCTAGCCACAAAACAGCTTTGATATCAATTGCTGAAGCACACGCAAGCACCATATTCAATACAGTGGAGTTGAGCGAAGCGAACATAATATCCACAATGCGAGTGTCATACAAGCACTCATGGTGGAATTTCGACGAAATTTGCGATCTTTACATTTTGAGCAAAATTCATGAGAACGTGTTTTCATAGGCTCGTAACTCAGCGAATTTAATAGACTGGAGCCTCAGTCTTGCGCGATTCGATAGCACATCTCCTAGTAACTTTGACTAGTGAAGCAAGCATGCAGGTTCTTTGACAGACACGTGAGAGGTGGAGGCGAAGTTACGAGCTTTCGTGATGCAGTTATAGTCACCTCACCGTATCCCTCCAAGAAGGCCCTGTAATCCTCAAAGACCACGATTTTCGTAAAGAGCGTGTTCGAAAACCTCTATAAGCGAAGATTCCTTACAATTTAAGAGCATGAACATTTTGACCAAAATCCATCGGCCAGCTTCAGAGCGTAAAACGAGAAAAAATGAAATTACTCGAACATCTTGGAAAACTTGCTTATAAGGGTTATCCGACCTGCTGATTACGAAAATCACATCTGCTTAGCAAGAGAGCTTCATATTTTAGAGTTACGTTGAAAAAAATTTAGAACGACATGATTTTTTCAGAATTCACCAACGCTTCTATCTATTTTGGGAGACAGTCTGCAGCTACTCTTGAACGCACGATAACCTACAAAGACAGTACTATCGAACAGTGCTTACTGGAATCTTTTATGTTACACAGACGCTGCGTTACATCCTTGCGAAAAGACCTCCACAGAAAAAATTCGAAAAAACTGGAAATGGAATATCGAGAGCATACTATATATCAAAATATTTGCCTCGACGATCTGAACACAATGCTGCTTCTGGATTCGGAATATATTCATTCCGAAGGAAGTTATGGCGTTGCGTACTCTGCGTGATTCGCATGGTTTCGCGGATCCTGAAATGTCGCGAACTTCCCGGATTATCGCCTTTGGCGGGAATCCCCGAATTCCGCGAAGTTCACGGAAATTTTAACATTCTGTGCGCGGTATTGTGATCCTGAGCAGATCGTAGAACAAATTCGATCAGAGTGACTCTCTACCATACTCCTATAGTATACTGTCTATGTGTCATCAGCGACAGATCAATGGTAATGCTGTTATCAGCACACTGAATTCAACCAAAATAATAATCGATAATTCTGAAAACTAATATTGTTATGTGGAATCCCCATGCTCGATTACCCCCTGTGCAAACTCCCGGCCCCGTAGCTCAAACTTTGCAAAAGAAATCGACAAAATCGATAAAAGTAATCGATAATCCTGGAAACTAATATTGTATTCGGAATCCCTATGCTCGATTACCCCCTGTGCAAACTCCCAGCCCCGTAGGTGAATTCTGCAAAAAAAATCGATAAAATCGATATCGATCGATGACGAAAAGTAGCCTATGACACCCGCTGGGGCCCGAAGTGTATGTGTGCCAAGTTTGGTCCGGATCGGTTCAGAAATGGATTTTTCTATTCGGAACATACGTACAGACAAACAGACAAACAGACGTTCAGCTTCATAAATAAGATGATGCGTCTCGTCGAGCTGAATCGAACGATGTCCTCGGATTCAGAATTCGTCCATTCTGAAGCGAAATATGGCTAAATTGACGATCATTCCGGCGCACTGCGGCGGAGTGTGGCGCACTCTGCCGCACTCTGGTGCACTCTGCCACACTCCGGCGCACTGTGGCGGAGTGTGGCGAAGTGCGCCGCAGTCCGGCGACTTTTTTGACGAATTATGAGCGGTATTGTAATTTCGAATAATCGAATATCGAATAAATTCGAAGTTAAAAAAATTTTTCGAATGAATGAATTCCGAATAGATTCAGAAAATCAAAAATACCGAATGAATGAATATCGAATATATTCAAACATTGGAGGTCGCATTTCGAATAAATTTTCGAATGATTTATCGAATAACTAGAGCAAACACATCTGAAATTTGCCGATATATCTGGCCAAAGTCGATCCGTTCATAATCAGCACCCTCGTATCCGCTATACCAACTCCTAGCTCAAAATTTTCCAAAAATCGCTGAAATCGTGAAATAGATTTCGGTTTTAATCAGCATACTCATTTACCCCCCCCCCCTGTACCAATTCCCACAACCTCGTAGCCACGATTTTCCAAAAAATCGACAAAATCGATAAAGTGAATTTTTATCCATAATCAGCACCCTCACTTACCCCCTGTACCAACTCCCAGCCCCGCAGCTCAAACTTCTCCAAAAATCGATAAAATCGACAAGTAAGTTTTTTTTATCCATAATCAGCATCCTCATTTACACCTCTTTACCAACTCCCAACCTCGTAGCTCAAACTTCTCCAAAAATCGATAAAGTGATCACCTAACGAGCCGTTCGGATTCATAGCGCTAGGTGTGCGATCTTTTGAAGCAGTAACGGTGACCACATATGTACTTAAACGCCACAAATGCTACGATACATTGCCTGTTCATCGGAGACTTTCGTCTTGTGTGGTATAAGCTAGTCATGGTCGAAGGCATGTGGTTTATTCCGCGAAGCGAGCACTAATGCCCCTATAGCCCCGGGCATACTGCAGGCATATTAGTGGCGACGTGGTTTGGAATCGTCAAATTGTCCAAAACTTATTTTAAAGTACAGAATGAGGGCATTTATCTTTCTGGTAAGTTGTACACGCTAAACATCTGTGGTAAGCTGGCTTTACATTTGAAGACACCTCGTGACTGGCAAATCGCGTACGACAATCTAAACCGTCTATTCCTCCACTGCAACTGCGATTCCTTTAATCAGAATACACCAATTCGCAAAAAATCTCTAAGGTAGCGAATAGAGGCAGTTGTGCAATATAACTTACGCAAGCAAGAGTGTTCACTAGTGTGGGCGTTGCGTACCGCAAGCATGAGCAATGCAAAGAAAGAAGAACAGGCATTTCAAAACTCAATATATGAACTTGGAACATGAGCTTGAATTTGATGGCTTCCTTGCTGATTTGGTGCCAGTAGCAGTGTGAACAATCTTATTGATTGAAAAGCATCAACTAAAATCCACATATGTTTTTTGTCAAGCAATTAGAAGAATGCGAACCCTCCATACAGCTCAAAGGTCATAACGGTTGCAAAAGATGCATTACCGAGTTTTGCGAAAAAATAACGCGGACGAATTGAGCTTGATACTCAGCACTTGGCTCTGTAAGAAAGTCGAATAATCTGAATACGGAGTTCATTCGAATACGAATTCGAATAAACATTCGAATAAAACATTCGAACAAAATCTATTCGAAACCCCGCTTTTTGATTATTCGAGTTTTCGAATTTTATTCGAATCCTCGGTTTTTGATTATTCGAGTTTTCGAATTTAATTCGACTCTGTTTTTTGATTATTCGACTTTCGAATTTTATTCGAAACCCCCGTTTTCTCAATTATTCGAGTTTTGAATATTATTCGAAAATGGAAGAACTCCGAATATCGAATTTCGAATACGAATATAATCGAATGTTTTTTTCAAATGATCGAATTTCCATTCGATTCGGACCCAAGTATAGTGGAGATGATATCTATAAGTGACAGTATGACAGAAATGGCATCAAGTCACTTGTGATGAAGAGCTGTTCATTCTTTCCGTTCAGTTTCGGTTAGAAAATGTATGCCGCTTTAAGCGCTTTGCGAGCAGCAATTCTTGACTCATAACCTAGGGTGATGAACCTGATATGGAGTCGTCGCCGTCATGGTCTACTTTCCTGTGCTTCCTTAGCGGACTGGCCATGCTTTCCCGCCTCTTACTCGCCAAGTGTTCAAACACGCGCGCTAAGTTGCCGATCAGTCTTCCCTATGTAGGTAGCGTGGCATGCCAGACATTCAGTCTCGTGCACAATGCCAAACTTAGCACAGTCTCCCATTTTTCCGCTAGTGCAAGCGACACAATCCTTCGTAGCTACAAGCTGTATTGTATAAACGATTACGCACTAGTTGTCGCTTAATGTTGCTTCGAGGGATATCTAATTCAACCATCAGAGTACATAAGTTTTACCAGAGAAGCACCCAACAGAAGTTCTTCTCAAGCTACTCAGTGTTCCTGACTTCGAAGAAGCAAACTTCTTTAGCGATCAACATCCCCTTTTAATAGGTAGAAGTTATTAAGCCGTTGTAGCATAAGGCTAGCTTTAACTCATCCAATTGCAATCAACATTATTTATGTTAGAGCAATCAACGGTGTTGAGTTTAAACGTTGTCAGACGATATGTGAGTGTCCATCTAGTCTTGAATATTACTTGGATTATCTAGCAAATCTTTCATTGTCAAAAAGAATAATCAAGGCTGCACTCTAGATATGCCACCCAACGACTGAGAAGATCTCACCTGAGCAATTACTTGAAGCGAGAACAAGCATGATTAAGGAGGCGAAACTTATGGCAGAATACAACGATCCAAACATTATTAAGGTTACTATCGGCTATTGCAATAAGCCAGCGCCTTAGACAGACATTTTAGTTCTATGGAATTGCATGTGATAGGCCTCCACTGATGATTCTCATGGAGTTATGTTCTGGAGGAAGCTTAGATAATTTGTTGCGGAAACGAGGAAAGGACATCAGCGATACGGAAAAGAGCATATATTTGTACGAAGTGAGTTGCCTTTTACGCCTCAGGGTCGAGAAACAGCTTGAACACTTGCAATCAACTTGTAGATATCTTGTGGCATGCGGTACTTGCACTCGATGAACTGCGTTCACCGAGATCTAGCTGCGAGAAATTGCTTGATTTCCAGTAATGTGAGCGAGCCATTCAAAAACATCTGAATTTTTACAAATAAAACGCGATACTTCAGGGCATTGTGAAAGTCGCTGATTTTGGTTTGAGCGTCATGCTGGAGAAGGGGAAGACCATGTGCAAGACAATAATAAAGGAAGCCCCTATAAGGTGAAATATCTGTAAGCATTGAAGGTAATGAGACTTTACGGTATAATAGATGCCATTTTTAGATGGTTTGCACCAGAATGTTGCCATAAAACACAATCCTTTTCTAAAAAGACAGATGTTTGGGCATTTGGTACCGTTATATTTGAAGTGTTTAGTAATGGAAGCAAGGTATTTGTGCACTATTCATCAAATGCTATATCAGCTTGAAAAATCTTTCTAAGCCATTTGTTGGAGTGGAAGACCTAGAAATAATTAGAGCCATAAGAAAGGTTGAAATGCCGGCTCCACCAGAAGGAACGCCAAAAGAGATTGCCGCCTTACTCAAGCAAATCTGGTAATTACACATTCTCAAGAGTAATTACAAAATCTTCTCCTTATGATCAAGAAAAGGATTTTCACAAACAGATAGTGTTTTGCTGTTTCATTGCATCGCAAGATTTGTTGCCATTACTTACAGCAACACTGGTATAAAAAGACGAAAGTACTGTAGTATCTCATCTCGTTGCGCAGGATAAACCAATAGCGGAATAAGAAAAAAAGTCTGTTAGGTTTCAAACAATAAGGATCAAAGGTTTTCAAGGCGGAGCCCATTAGCGCATCTTCAAACATTGCGGAATGAGTTTGCCACAGAAGACCTGTTGGGAATTCTCCTCGTTTGGTGAGGACTAAAGCCCACACTGCTGATATAGGAAGGTAATGCAGAGAAAACAAAATCTTCTCCGCTAGTATTCGCAAGAGATAAACAAAAACAAGAGCACTGCAGAGTATAATCAAAAAAATCAAAAACTTCGACACAAACGTTTCCAAAATCTGGACGGGAAATTGTTTTATTTATAAAACCCTTGGAGAATATAAAGGACAGTTTCAAACTCAATGTTATAAGTCGCAATCAAAAGATTGTTTTAAACTATTTAGGCTTACTAATACATTGGTTCTTTCTTCGAAATTAGGAAGGTTATGTAAGTTAGCAAGCTAAATTTCTTTCCTTTTCGTTTTGAAGAGAAGAGCTTTCTGTTTTTCCTCCTCCCATTGTTTTAGACATGTAATTGAGGTCAACAACAACTGAGTCGTGTGTATACTACACATAACTTATATGTTTGTCATCTGTCAAAGCATACTCTAGATTGAACTAAGTTTTCTAGAATATCATAAATACCAGTGCGTCACCTCTGCTTCGCAGAGGCTCGCACTGGCTCTGCTATCTAGGTCCTACTCATTCTCGTATAATGATGGCATTGGAACTCACCGAGCAATGCCTACTATCACGAACAAAATGTAAACAACTACTCATTCCGAAAGCTTTTTTATGGAAAATCGGTGATTTCGCGTGGATGAGACTTTTTGCAGGAAAACAAATGCAAATTTTTATAGGTTCTTGATTTTCTCATGGCCTTTACAGTTGCAATAAGAACAGCGGTCACCTTGAGCTACACTTTGTGCAAAATTTTTGTCAAATGGTCTGGTAAAACCTTGGCAAATGACAATTTACGTAACCAATACTTTTTGGCGCCGTTTTTGTAAAGTAATGGACTTTTGATCACTTTTTTGAGCCTAAGTTCATGGCTTGCACATTTACTTGGCACAAACATCCACGACTCTGAAAAAAGTGGAATTACGGACCCAATTTTGCGGCCCAAATGCAAAGTGGATCCGTTTGACACGCAGTTTCTGAGGGATCCACTCAACGAATCTGCTTGTGCTTTTGCATGTTGGACTTTTCTGCGAGTAGCATGCGCTGTGCAAAATTTGAGCCCAGGAGGTGGGCTGGAACACGCTCTACGATTTTCGTAACAGACACACTCTCAGACACACACACACACACACACACACACACACACACACACACACACACACACACACACACACACACACACACACACACACACACACACACACACACACACACACACACACACACACACACACACACACACACACACACACACACACACACACACACACATACACACACACACACACACACACAACACACACACAGACAAAGTCACGTAAACATCCTTAGCCCGTTATTATAAGTAACCAGTGCATCACATCCGCTTCGCGGAGGTTCGCACTGGCACTCCTATCCATGTGCCTTTCTCATGTTCGCATAATGATGACTTTGAAACTTACCGCGCGATGCTGAACATCATAAATGAATTGTAAACAACTGCTCATTCTTAAAGCATCTCCACGTAATGTCGGTAATTTTGAGAAAGAAATCTTTTTCGCAAAGGAACACCTGCGAATTTAAGTGAATTACCGAATTTATTTTGGCTTGGTAGTCGTCATAAGGCTAGTGGTCACTTTGGGCTACATTTCCGTGCAAAAATCTTTTCAAATTTGAAGTTAAAACCTTGCCAAATCGACTATCTACGCGATCACCACTTTTTGGCGCTGTTTTCGCAGAAAAGCAAACTTTTCCAGCATTTTTTGGGTTAGAATTCATGAGGCGCAGATTTACTTGTCAGGCAAATCATGGCTTTGCAAAAATTCAAATCTGGACTCAGTTTTGCCTGCTTAGAGCCGTGTGGATCCGCTTGACGCATAATTTTTGTGACATCAACGCAACGGATCCGTACGAAATTTTGCATGATGGGCCTAGATGCTGGCAAGGTGCTATGACCAAAACTTTAGCCCAAGGCATTTGCTGGAACTCGTTGTATGAATTTCGTGACAGACAGACGTACACACAGACACACAGACAAACAGACGTAAACACCCTTAGCCCGTTATTATTAAGTCATAGATCTTGGACGTCGAGCGTTATTTCGTTAATACTTCTGGGAATGTGTATAAAGAACGATAAAGTGAGATTCTAAATTGATCTGTGAAAACATCCTGTTCTGAAGTGATTTGATTTTTCTGGAATTCTCAATTTTGTCATAGTTGTTTGCAAGTATAATCAGTCTCTTGCACACTGTTATAACTGCATAGAAGACTCCTAAAGGGCATCACCAACGTTCAGCTCACAGTCAGTCACTTTCAGTATGTTGCGTTTTGTTTGTGTTTTACGTAATTTTCGATAGAGTGCACCAGTGCACACCCTCGTCTTCTTTGTGAGGATGTTTGTGAGCACGTATATAAACACTATAACAAGTTATAGGATATTCATGCTTTTTCGTGTCTCCCAGCTATAACTGACTCGGTGCACTACAGACAATACATTGGCTTGTTGAAATCCTATCTGAAACATTATTTTTTGGTTTCGCCATCGAAAACTGCCACGCGTATACTTTATCAATTGGATGCTTGCCTAATTTATAACTAAAGTACACGAAAACACTATGAGAGCCCACGAACGTTGTTCAACTTGCCCTGTGCCATCTTTGCTTAATCCTGATATGAATTAGATAAGAAAGTGCTTCTTCAGGGTGCTGAAACCAGATGAACGGCCATCATTTTATTCGATAGGAAAACGATTGCGAGAGCATATCTCAAGCAAGCCGAAAATTGATCCGATCGCCATGATTGTAAATCAACTGGAAGGGGTCAAAAGGACTGTGGCATTGGTAAGCACGCTTGTGATGTAAGCAAAACTCTATCTCCCCATTCTTCTATTTTCTTATCCTCTCCTCTGCTAACACTAGAATTTTGTTCAGAAATAGTCAGGATTCCAAAATCAGCTGCCCCCTTCCCTTCAATATCCTACTTAACGTAGAGGGTTGAACTAACGATAAGGCCCCGACTCTTTTCACCTGTCAGGAAATTCTCGACTTCGTTTGCGTAAAGATCCAATTACCCTATTTTCCGGAGTAAAGGCGAATTTTCGTGCACCGCGCGCGAGCAGTTTCGCGAAGATACGGGCGATGTGCGTCGCCGCAAGGGCAGCGGTGCTAACATTTCGTAACAATTTTGCGCATTCGTTCTCTGTCAAATCTCTTGAGATCATGAGTTGTTTAAAAAATCAATCTGCTCTATCTTTGATTCATCGTATTCCGCAAAACAAAAATTTTACTCTAGAACACCCGTACTGTTTCATTTGAAACTCATCCAATATCTGTCACTGAGTTCGTTTATACATCTAGTTAGGTTTTTGTTAAGCTTTAACGGTAACTGCAAGCCTCCAACCTAACTTTGAAGCGCCCATTTAGCAATCTTCAGGTAAAATATAGATAAGTAGACCGTAGAAGTACAGCTCAGCTCAAGTCCAAATCTCTAATCTAGGGCGCAACTTTCGCGCTAACGTTCGCGCGGCAAGTGCGCCTTATACATAGGTGAGCCTTATACTCCGAAAAAATAGGGTAATTTTATTAGCTTTTATCAACAAAAAATGCCTTTCTAATCGAAGTGGCCGTTGGCCGTTCAAGATGAGGTATGTTGCTGTATTCATTGTTGGTTGCTGATCTCAAGAGTGCGACCTTTATCTGTGACGCTTTTGTAGAAGTCGACAAGTTCGACCATGTTATCACATTACTTGGCAAAAGCACTGCCAGCAAGTGCTATCATGATAGAAGGGTGCAGCGTTTGTGTGATCGTTTATAGCACAGAAAGTTATGTCTACCTTTCACAAACAGTGCCCCTGCCTTTTTGTTTCTGATGTCCAGTCATCTTCAGATAAGCGTTTTGCAGAAAAGGATTGCAGTTTCGAGATCAGCGTTCATTGCTAACTTCGGCATCGTATATCTAACTCAAACGACCCGTTCGACTTAAAAGGCTTTTCTTGTAAGTTCTGAAACTGCGCAGGCGACCTAATGCTTGGATGTGCTGCTTACATTATTGAAATATCCTCATTTTTTCAAATTAACTTGTTTTAGTTTGAGGATACGCAGAAAACAGTAACTCTGGACTCTTCACTTGTTACCAATTATGAGGTTTGCATACTAACTTTGCAATTCAAGCGTTATGAAGCTCTCTACAGCCACCAAAACCATGAAAGCACTCGAGCTTCTTTATCTGTCTACAACTGCCTAGCATTTGCAAGTAAAAACGAAATTGACAAACTCTCTCATCTAAATTATAATTATTAATTTATCACCTTAATAAAGCCTTGTAATTTCGTTGACAATATACGTGATACGTGTTGAAGCATTTTCAGAATTATTCTTCTATCAACCAGGAAACCGCATCGTACATCGTAAACTCGCAAACTTTTTCGTGCCAACTAAAATATCTGAGGTGGTTATCTGTAAGTTCAGGAAACGAGTGGCGTGGTATGATGCGCCGCTATGATCAGATCGGACACAGGTTCGAACCCCGCCGCTGGGCCAACCAAGCCCTCTACCCTCCGGGGCCGATAAATGAGTACCAAAGTAATCTGGGAGGATAAAAGCATTGACTTGGTAAACGGCTGGCCCCCGCAATTCACTGTAATAAGTTCGCAAGCATGTAAATGCCTCTTCTACTATGAAGTGGTGTGCGCTCGGCGCATGCGCGCAGATGGTATTGATGACGCAATTTCTTTACCCTTTATCCTTTTATAAGCTTAAAGAACTGGTATAGTAAGTTTCAACTCAGTTCAGGCGGAAATTGGGCGACTGGCGGGAGTTCGCTTCGCAATGATTTGCCCCGCTTTCCAGTCTGCGTCTTTTCTGATCTATCTCGCTGAGCCAGCGGCGGTGCGGACGCGCTGCTCCGCTTGAAATGTTTCGCCTACTCCGGGCTGGAAAAAACTGTAGCTAGTGAGGACTGGAAGTGTTTGAGGCAGGATATTGATTAGGACGACGCCCAGTGATGCTTGATATTTCATTTAAGCTAGTCAAGGTCGAATCGCAAGCGCAGTTGCTGGGTGCGGAGCCTACATTACATCGGCCTTGCAAGTGTTTTACCTTCCGCATCACAATTCAGCATTGCCTGCAGCATTGCACAGTTATGTTCTAGTTGCTTCAAAGTCCATCTCTTCTACAGGAAAGTGCTTGTTAATAGAGACTCCTCTAGCAATTCTCACGATTAACATATCTTCGAAAGCGAACACGTGACTTTCAACAGATACTCTTTAGAAGCTCAGTGAAAACCAGTGGTGTTAATAATTCTTCACATAATGACCAATTGATTATTTGTAGCTTTGCTTGAACTGGTAAACGTACTTGAATCAGCAGTTGCAGCAAATGTAAAATATTTGGTCTCGTCTTCTGAAACCATCATTTATTTACTGTTTGACGCAAAAAAATTTTCAAGTTCTAAACTTATTCATAAGCACAAAACAAAAAGCGCGAGATCTTCGCACTTGGAGGATAAAGGGATATGCGCTGGTTTTCATCATACGCCCGCGTCAACTAAGCAACTACCATTGCCCTTGCCCTCTTCCCACAAAGTGGCAATCAATCTACTGTTTCCCTAATAAGCTTTTTCTACAATTTAATCCTCTTTAAATATAAAGCATTATGAGACGTCCACGTTAGGAATCATTGACCGTTTGGAATCATGATATAACCACCCAACGAGACTGCATCAGCGTATAGTTTCACAAAAGGTGTCTCCGTGGGAGATAATGTCGTGTAGCGGCAATGCTACGACTCGTAAAGAATGAAGGATGAAGACTTGATGATGAAAGTTCGTGGAAGACTAAAATCATTTTTGAAATGGGGTTTTCTCAAGGTTTGGTTTCCCCTTACGAAACTTACTCCTGTGTCCGTAAAAAGGTTCCATTACGTCATCGTCAACAAAGCAGCAGCAGCAAAAGACAGGAAGTTTCGGCCGGAGTTGGCAACAAGACTGATGATATCGTTAAGTTCGGAGTATACCAAGCGTTTTGCAGAGGCATCGTTGTCACTACCATGGGGCAAACACTTTTTGGCAGTTTTCCATGTTTGGTATTTATGACAAGAACTTAAGTTCTTGACTAAGGTTTCAGGAAGAAGATCATTCTGATAATTATTTATCATTATTGCAACTTTAATTCATTGTTTTGGTGGTTCCTCCCTACTGTGGCCTGAGGCGCTTGATTGGGAGTATTTGACTCCTGTGTTATAGAAAAATTGTGGATATTGTTGTTGTATATTCATGAATATACGACGTGCACGTATTAGTGCAGCAGTAGAATGTTGTCGATTGAAGCCGTTTCGAAGTAAGTTGACATATTTGGGCAACGGTGCTCCTATCACAGCAATCATGCTTATGCATGACCTTCGTTGGTAATCATCAGGAGAGGTGAAAGAGGTGCCGATTCTAACGGCACAGTCATCTATGATAAATCACACAGACAAAGGAGTCTCCTACTTCATGTTCTCAATATCTGGAATGATATCCACGAAATTCCATAATGGAAGGAAATTAACTTTCAAACCCCATTTTATTCGTTCGCGGTGGAAACTGGTCGGAATCTGCTTTGGCTCGCGTTATCCAAAATTTTCTATCCCATCGCAGCCGCGAGACAAAGCGGTGTAATGAAAATGATCCAACCCTATCTGAGCTCTCAGTTGCGAAAGAATCGTGCGAAAAGTTTATTTAGAATGGACAAAATGGGATTTAATAACTTGAAAGCCCATTTTTTTCCCAGCAGCTAGGTGAGCTAGGACTAAGCCCATTTTTGATCTTTTCGCTCATTTTTGAATGTGTTTTTGAGAATGTGTTTCTTAGCCTAATTCAAGGTAACAAGTGAATGGAAAAAAGTTTCATGTCCTTTATGAAGTCTAAAATAAGTGTTAATTTTTAAACTCATGCAAACGCTATAAAAATGGAAGAAGGTTCACTCAGATATTCGCTTACAAACAAATGCTTCCACATATCAGGTCGAAGCAAAAGTCCCAGTGCAAATTAAACACTCAAATCATCAGCTAAACTAAATGTGATTTTTATTAGGTTGCATAAGTCTTATTACACTTTAGTTTCTTACGGCGATGAGTCGTGTACATCAAAATTTCAATAGAGCTGCAGAGTACATTTCGATATAGCAAAGCAAGCTCTACAAGATCGCGCGCAAAAGTTCGCGCCGGCTTCGATCCACCTTAAGTTTGCTTTAAGAATCTGGGGGGAGTCGTACTGAAGGCTCAAAAAATTGGGTGAAATCATACTCTTGCTCAAATTTTACGGATCTCCAACTTGCTCGCAAAAATTGCACACTACATCCTCATAAGTGCCGTTGCTGTATTTTTTCCTTACTTAGAAATCGAAATAACGGAAATTTTTATGTTTATACAGAAACGAAGTTATGATGTTTTTCCCATTGATGTAATTTATACTATTAGCACTTAGAAATATAACCGCAAATTTTTCAGCTTTTCGCAAGCCCTAGTTCTCGAGAAATAATTATTTTAGCACGGAACACTGGAGTGAGAAGATTCAAATTCGGTAGTTCTCGAAGACTAGGGCTTGAGGGCATGCATTAAAGGGCCGCATGCATTAACATCCCCGCCGGGGAGGTGATCGCAGCTTAGGGCCGCATGCACTAACCCCCCGCTGGGGAGGGGATAGCAGCTTAAAAGGAAGCTTTATATTTCGAAACTGCAGATACCTGGATTTCACGTTGTGTACCCATCCGTAAGTATTCACTACACTTCACTATGAACATGTTGAAGAGTAGCGAGAAGCTACACGAACCGCATTTTCCAGCTTTGATCTTATGATCCATGATGATCCCCGGCGCTTTTCTTTGAAGTCATTTTTCTTTCTCCGAAGTTAACGAAAAACCAGGTAACCTCCAAAGTTGTGCAGATTATCCAACCCGACAGTGCTAAGCATGTTCGTGCTAAGAACAAATTATGTTTTGAAGTCATGAAATTTTCGATGTTCCACAGGTCGAAATTTGAGGTTTACCGAAAAATTCGACTTTTCAAAAACATTTGTTCTTATCAGTAACATGCTTAGCACTGTTGCGTTAGATGTTCAGTACAGCTTTGGAAACTTTCGTTAACTTCAGAGAAAAAAAATGACTTTGAAGAAAAGCGCCGGGGAACATCAGGGATCGTACAGAAGCTGGAAAATGCGGTTCGTGTAGCTTCTCGCTCCTTTTCAACATGTTCATAGTGAAGTGTAGTGAATACTTACGGATGGGTACACAACGTGAAATCCAGGTATCTGGAGTTTCAAAATATAAAGCTTTCTTTTAAGCTGCGATCCCCTCCCCAGCGGGGAGGTTAGTGCATGCGGCCCTAAGCTGCGATCACCTCCCCGGCAAGGATGTTAATGCATGCGGCCCTTAGGGGAAGCAGAAGAAAACTCGTTAATTTTTAAGAGGTGGTGTCCAGAAGTAGCACAAAGGAGCAAGCACAGCTCTAAACCTTAGTAAGCCGAAACTTACAGCATTGACAGCATTTTCCAGTAACAAAACTAACACGTACAGCCTAGCGCATAACCCAGTGTGAGCATGATTCAAACGTGTAAAAACACATTCTCTAGGCACATTAAAGGCAGTGTCCACCCAGAATTTGGCCCCCCATGTTTTTGTCATTCCGGGGCCTTTCCGTGGCCCTGATTACAGTTCCGAACTTCAAACACTCCAAAATTTACAAAAAACCCGATTTCTAAGGACCCTGTCTTGAGGGCGCGGGCGAGTTTCGAATCGCTCGTCCCCGTCGGCAGGCCAGCGGGGAGGAGCTGCAACTGCATGGGTGCAGTTGCATTGCAGTGTGCAATGTGCAGCTTCTGCTCGCTACCATGTCAATACGTGTCGGGAAACAGTCCTTGATGGGCGGAGTCTGATATCAGACTCCTCTCAGAGACAACGTTAGAAGACCGGATCAACGCAGATGCCTCTTTTCTGGGGCCTACATTCAGGATCCACACTAATCGGAGGGGGTTAGGTTTAGCCTAGACACTGCCTTTAAGATACCTAGATAAGCAGTTTGTTAACAACTCGCTAGCAATATTGAGCTACCAAATCGCGACGATGATCAAAAGAAATGTACGGCAAGAAGATTATGCGAATAAAAAGAATCGTAAGTGGTTTCATGTCCTGGGTTGGTCCAGCGCAACCTATGAGCATCCCGATGTGCGGAAAACAGAGTCACAAGTTGTATTTTACTCACATAAGTTTTCGAAATTTTGTACGTGAACTTAATATAAAGTTCAAGCTCGACCTATGATACTCAAT